TTTTGGGTTCATTGAGAACATGGTTGTTGTTCAATAATAAAATTATTCCTCAAAAATACAACTTGCCTAATAATTCTGCACTCCCTGTATGATTTATATCAAGTTTTTGGGATTCAACTTTTTACTGTTACTGCTATACGACTGTGAAGCTGTGTTACAGTTCATGTTCCCTTTCATAGATTCAACTAAAGAAGTGGGGACCAATGATGTGTTTTTGTTTCTGAAATGTGTCTTACTTATATCTCCTTTATCTTCTGAATGTTTTTCTCGGTTGCATTGCCTCCCTGATACGTCTGACAGAACATCTAGCAGTACTAAGACTTTCATATTATCAGTGTAATGACCTGGAACACAGTTAATGAACTCTGGAGTTGGCTCGGAGCTTTCAGCAACAAAGCTGATGAATTGAAACTTTAATCATTACAAAAAATTATTTAAAAAAAGGAATCACTCAGGGGCACAGACCTAACAGTTCTGTGTGTATTTGACAGTTTTGTTTCCATCAAACTGATTCACACTGAACCCTGTGAATGCAGACCCTGCAGTACTTACAGTATCTGTAGAGGAGGCATTTAATGAAGTCTTTACTGCACAAGCTGGCACTGATAGGGGCTCTGTATCAATGCAGAACAGAGGTCGACATACAAGAATGATAGAAAACAAACTGAGCGATCGTGTAGAAGAAAGAGGAACAAGGCCTGTGTTTCGAAAAACGACACCTTGCAACACTGAGCATAAAATGTTCCCTCTGAAGCAGAAGGGAAAGAAAATGAACGCACACATGTAAAGAAAGCTCTTAAAACATGTGGTTAACTTAATCAGATAGTAAACAAGGTCAGACACCAATTAGGGAGAAACAGAAGGAAAACCAGAACAACATCATCGTCCCTGATGTAGCAGGTTTATCAGAGAAACTCAGGAGAGTCTTCTCCAAACACGACATCCCAGTGCGCTTCAGACTCAGACACAAACTGGTTCACCACAAACACAAACTGAACAACGCAGCTGTGCAGTGCAGCGAGGAGCGCTCAGACCTCTACAAAGGAGACACCAAACAGCCACTTCATAAACACATGTAAAGGTCAAAGGTCACTCTCTCAGGATGCCAGTGTTCACATTTTGTACAGAGAAGACAGATGGTTTGAAAGAGGAGTGAAAGAAACATCTATGTCCACTGTGAACGGCCATCTTTGAAAGGAGGGCGGGGCTTACCACACCAACTGTCTGCCATCTAAAATCTGGACGCCTTAACGCCCACGCACATCCTGCGTCATCTGATATCAACATGATAGGGTGTGGCTAGGATTCACAATGAGCTCACCCAACACCTTGGCTGATTGTGACCTACACCTGTTTTCACACCTTGGCTCATGTGATTAGGTGGAGGATCATCAGGGGGTCCAGGACCCTCTTAGAGACACTTAAAATCTGGGAAAGAACAATTATCACTGCCTCACTATTTCATCCAGCTGTCATAAACCCACATGTGCTATTTACACATGTATTCCTAATGTGCCTGAAGTCTCAAAGTCTGTCTGTGAGCTGCATCTGACGTTTGCAATAAATCTCTGCATTTTTCATTGATAACATGAAACTTGTTGGTAACACCACAGGGGCTTTCATTTCAGCTCGTTTCAGATCCTTCTGTCTCGGTCCCCAAAAGGTTGATTCTGTTCATCTGGATGTTTTCAGTGGGAGAAACATTTCGTCATCATCAGGTGACGTCTTCAGTCTCAGCTGACTGCAGGTTTCTTATAAACAGGACATTTGCACAATAACTGAAACCAGCAGCACTGAAGGAACAATGGGCTGTGAGGTCATGACCATTGATCAACAACCACTGATCAATGGCCATGAGTCCCATTAAATAAATAAATAAATACAATTTTATTTATATAGCACCTCCTATCTAGACAGAGTCAGAAAGAGCTGCACATAAGATAACAAATAATAAAAGGCAAAACAGACAATATAAAACAGGCAAAAATTAATCAAAAGCAGTTTTAAAAAGGTGAGTTTTGAGTTGTTTTTAAAAACAACTACCGAGTCCACAGTTTTACAGGTTTGGGGGAGAGAGTCCAAGAACGTAGCTCTGTCACCCTTAGTGCTCATCTTAGTCTTTTTTTATAGCAAGTAAGCCCTGATCGGATGACCTCAGGGACCTGCTGGGGACATCGGGCTGCAGCAGATCAGAGATCATTCACAGAGAGTTGGGGAATGGCTGCAATCACAGCATTGTAAGATGGTGACAGATGTACCCTTAGGCCCCTCCTCCATTCAGAGATGGTCTTTCCCTTTTCATGTAAATGGCCTCCTTGACTCCGCCCTCAAACCAGCGTTCCCCCCTGTCCAGGATGTTACATCATTGAAAGTGTCCACTGGCCTGTAGGTGTGCATAGACTGCAGAGTCCTGGCCTGACGAGGTGGCTCTTCTGTGTTGTGTCATCCTCTTACCCAGAGGTTGTTTGGTTTCCCCGATGTATAAATCCAGCCCATTGTTCCTTCAGTGCTGCTGGTTTCAGTCATTATGCAGATGTCCTGTTTATAAGAAACCTGCAGTCAGCTGAGACTGAAGACGTCACCTGATGAGTGACGAAACGTTTCTCCCACTGAAAACATCCAGATGAAGAGAATATAAACTTTCTGGGATTTCCTTGCCTGGATGACTGAGCATGCATCGGGACTCTGTCTCTGTCCCTTTTTCTGCTGATCTCAAACAGCTTGAGCTGTGACTGTCAGTTTTAGTGAATGTGATTCGCTTAACCCTCAGGTTTCTCCACGATGCCGCTGCGCCTCTATTTTTTTTTTGAAAGAGGTTTTGAAGAGATCATAGGTCGGCTGACTTTCTCCATTATCAACATCAGTCTGTCTTTGAATGTGGTTCCTGCGAATTTTAAACATGCAAATATGCAACCTTTGATTAAAAAACATGATCTTAAACTGACGTCAAAAACAAAAAACAGGGCTCCTCTGCAAGCTGCAACTTCTTTGAAAGATATTTAGAGAAAATAGTTTCTGCTCAGTTAAACTGTTTCATTGAAGAGCATGATATCCAATATATTTGTCTATTTCTTTCTCATGTTCAGCACTTTGTGTCACCTGTGACTGATTTAAAGTGCTTTACAAATAAAGTTACATAAATGTTTTGTGTGCAGCATAATTATTAATAGTTACACTATTTCAAAGTATGTTTACAGCCCACAAGCAGATTTTCCATATTAATATGACGATCTAAAAATCTACTACAGCACTATAAATAGAACTGGGGCCTTTTTTAATTTTAGAAAATAAATATGTCAATAAAATAATTTTACTAATCCATTTTCTTAATGAATTTAATATCTAAACATTTAATTGCTGCATTTAAAAAGTCATCTAAGAACCTGTGGCATCAGGTAAGTTCTACAGAACGGATGTCAGAGCCAGAACAAGCTGTTTGCTCAGCACAGCACAGAAATAAAGCTACAAATTGATTAACAAAGCATAATCGATTACTCTTAATAGAAACAATAACAAGAAAGATTTAAAATGACAGAGTTTTACATGGTTAACTGTCTACAGGGTGATTCAAATATTTACATTGGGATAAAAAATCAGGATAGTGGAATCAGCAAAACGATTACGTTTTCTCTAAAGCCTCAGGAGTATTTGAACATGGTGCATATTTTATTAGTTACTATGGTGATAATGCTTCGATTACATATCGATATTTAGAGTGAACTGACCTTAAATGTATGCAAAAGCATCAGGAAGGACGACGCTGGCGATGACAATGTCAATAATGACCACAACAGTGTTTATTTAGTGCATGGTGCTTTTTACATGTTTTTGTGTGATGATCATGTGAGGGTTACATCTAAGAAAACATACACAGAAAATAAGATGTGGACTGCTGACACAGAGGAGGAGGAGTACCGTGATCATAATGATACAGTGAGAACAACAAACACTGGAGAGGATCTTAAAGGGCATCTTGTAACTAAAAGCCCGGCGTTTGAAGATAAAGTGCAAAGTGTGCACTGGTGCTAAAACGCCTAAAGTCACGCTGAAATGTTCTTTAAACTGTAAAAATATTGACTGTATTTCATTAATTTGATGCCGGACATTTTAAGGTTAACAAAAACTCACTGGATGACACAAATGAATGAGAGCTGTAGAAAGGACATTTATGTCGTTGAACCGTGACGTGTTCAGGGTGAACTGGGGTCCCAGTTATAAAGGCTAAGGCTAGGTTTGCAACAAAACCCCTTTTCTAGTTGTGTTAGTATACCCACTTTATTGTTCGTTGTCATTTGTTGTCATTTTATGTTCGAGGTAAACAAAAATCACGTTCTTTTTCAAAAAGTGTCCCCAAATGTCTGAGTGGCAGTGTGACTGTGTTTCTGCTTCCAGTGGGCGGTGTGTACAGGCGTGGTCGGCTTTGTCCTCCAGGAAGTACACATGTCATAATCATGCTGTTCAAATATTATTGCAGACATATGGAAGTTAGACAGTGTGAGAAGAATTCATCATCACTGCTGATTCTGTTCTTTCATCTCGTTTCTTTTTGTTGCTTCATTACATGCCGACTTTCTTCTCTCTGTGTTTTTCCCCTTACTGGTGTAATGTCACCACATTCGTCCCCTTTCTGTTGTTCCGTTATAATAAGCTGATAATCTGTATTGTGTTGTTCTTTGAATTATAACAGAAAATTATCCCAATTTACTGTATTATTAAGTGTCAGATATGTCAACCATTCCTATCATTTTAATGTGATGCAATAGATTTTATATAATAAAGTCTAAATATACAGACGCTGAAGTTTTGCTCTTCTCTTTACCGACTTCAATATTTCACAGATGTCTTTAAAGCAGCGCTAAGTGTACACACTGCCCACTGTGAGGAAAATTAGAAACGTTATGCAGAAACTATAACGATGTGGGGAACGTTGTCATGTAAAATCATATCTAAAACACAAAACGCACAAAGGTGGAAATAAATAAAAGTCATGTCAGTGCACTACGATCTCTGTGGTCCTGATGAAGCCCTGTTTTGGTAACACGAGCACAAAAACACAACTAAACAATCAAAAGGTGTCACTGAACAAATGCCAGAACTTTGTCAGATGAAAGGATTAATTCCCGCACGTTAGTTTGATACAATCAATCTTTTCCTATACACAAATTGAAAAAATATTATTTTTACGTCGAGAGGGAAAATAAAATATTTACTGTACAAGAAATGACACCAAACTTGCACTAAAATTTGAGAGGGATCCTGCGAGTCCCAAAGTGTACAATCCCAAGTGACATCACCCACAATCCCTTTGTCAATGCTGCTCGGATACATTGTTACAAAATACTTGATTTTCAAGTTACTGGTAACCAATTCTGATGGTAAGAAAAGCTGTAGAAAAATAAATTACCAATATATCAAGAGTAAAAGACCAAATGCCCTTGATTTTATCTTAAAATCTCCACACAAATTGGAGAGGAAGAAATCCACAAATGCTGTTCTTTAATTTCTTTTTCATATTTAAAAAAAGATGATTTTTCATCCATAACTCCAGCAGCTGCTCTTTTGGCAGTAAATGGAACAAGAGGGGGATTGTGGGGAATACTGGCAGGGTTCTTGGGAATTTTCTGGTGACTCTGTCTCCTTCAGGCCAAACTTCACACTCGTGGAGTCAAGTTCATTTGTCATTGTTGAAGCTAGTTCGCTCTGATGAGGTCTGGTGGTTCCCGTTGATGGTTGCTGGGTGCGCTGAGGTAAAATGGTGTGATGGAGATACGAGGAGGAATGGGGTGGAGTGGGGGGTAGCTGAGAGGGCCGAAGTTTGATTGAGGAAAGATGACAGAAAGTAAAGAAAGAATAAAAGAATATTTAGTGGCGTTTACCATGAAAATATCTGCATTTTTGATCACAAGACAGTCAGCTATCTGAGCACAAAGGAAAAGGCCCCAACACCAAAAAAGAAAATGAAGCAAGAAATATTACATAGAAAATGAGAATTTTAATATATACGTAATGTAATTTGAATTGTATAACACGACATTAGTCTTAAAGAGCTTTTTTTAACCATACATGTAAACAATCAAAATTTTATTTGATTATTGTTTCGTCGTCTGCTGAACTTTAGATTCATTTATTTTTAATAGTTTATTTAAAATTAAAAAAATGTAAAATAATAATGTGTTTTTATTGTACAATTCATCAAAAAGTGGTGAAACTGACCATCAAACATTTACAGTTCATATACTGTCATATACACACATTACTGGGATACTGAGCAAGGATCGTGTGATTGAGGCCATTCATTGACTCCACGTTGGCAGCAAACACACTGGCTGAAAGTGTTTAAGGACCCATGTGCTCGTACATGACGCAGCTCTTCGTGGAAGCTGTTACCATAGATTCACCCAGCCTCTGTTTCTCTACATTAGCTCTGTCTGCGGAGCTTCACTCCAGTAATGCTACTGAGTTTGTTAACACACCAACAAAAATCTGTCTCTGTTGGTTTTTTATTCTCTGGAACTTGAAACAAAGTGTTTTACAAAACTATGATTATTGTTCCTTTTACCACTTTGGTAGCTTTAGTTGGCATCGTGCCTTCCTGATCTTCCTGTGAGACAGCACTGAGGGCTTCAACAATCTGCAGCCCTCCCAGCCCTCCCAGCCCTGCTCACATGTTCAGACAAACTGGGAGGCAGGCTGGGCCGTTTACATACCAGCCTGCCAACCAGCTCAACAGCATCAGATTCCCAGCCTGGACCCTTTAACATCACATATCCAAGGCAACAATTAAAGCCACATGGGCCCTAACACCTTACACTGTGGACGTACCATGTTTCACTTTCATGCAAACACCGGAGATACTTCTGCAGGTTTTCATTTAATTACTGATCTGCGTCCTTCATAAACATCTCCATGTTTCCATGACTCGGTTCAGTCGGTTTCTATCATTACTTATCACGGTCCTCTTGTGTTTAAAACACAGTTTGGTGATGTAGTTCGTCTCCATGGTAGCTTTTACTGTAAATAAGTTTCTTTTGGTGGCTGTTATTGTAAACAGTGACTGCCCTTTCTTAATTATTTATGCTGGTTAGTGGTTAGGTGGAGGTGGTTAGGAGGTTTGAGTTTAAGTCTGAATTCTTGGTTAAGTTTAAACTTTTTCAACATCTTCTTTTATCCTCGTCACAATTATAATTATACTCAATATGATCTTCACAAGTGATTTTCAGTCTGACCAGTGGATACTTGGTGGGCGACAGATGAAACCCAGATGCATCACTTGCCTTCCACAGGATCAGTCCGTCTTACTCTGGGGTGATCTCCGTCTCCTGATGCACGACCACTTTGGTGACAGACATATCTGGGTGCTGCTCCTTTGCCTCTTTAATGGCCTGGGCCAAAGCCTACAGAGTAAACACCACACTCCTAAATGACCTGCACGACACGCACTGTTGTGACGAACATGACTTTCATGTAGCATATATTTACTGGACATACTGCTCTGTGGGGCAAGCTAGGCCTGCACATAATCCCAGGGTCGCTTATGTGGTACATTTCCTGTGAATCAGCGAATGAGCTAACACACAGACCTTTAAGGAAAACATGATTTAGTGTGAACAACGAAGCAGTGAGAAATGCTCCATAATGAATTTACCTTGTCATGATCTATTTCTGTGTCCCCAGTGATGACAATTCTCTTTTCAATGCGAGTCTCAGAGATCCCTCCTTTCACCGTCTGTAACAGAGATGTGACACAGCTTTAAAAATCTAAATCCTCCCTCTGTCTTTATTTCTCCTCTGAACAGAATTGACGTTCGCTGGAAAATCCTGAGTGAAGTGACAGTGACTCCTCTTAAATCCAGGACCAAATGACCTCACACCACATTCACCAGCGTGAGGCCAGAAGACGCCACTTACTGAGTGGAAACTTCTACAGATACAGTCACAGGCAGTTCATTTCAGCATTAGCAGGTAACAGTATAAGAGTATGCTTGTGAAAGTTTTTCGTATATGGAAACAGTATATCAAACGTATCAGTATGTCAGCTGAATGAAGCAGATGTAGGAGAGTATGTCTTTCACATAAGAATTGAACTAATTGTTTCTGATGGAGACTGTGTGAGATCTCAGAGGCTCGGAGCAGAAGTCTGATGGCCGGGAGGAGCACAGAGTTATGTAGTGACTGTTCCAACAGCTGATCACAAAATGTACCTGACTGAATCATCTGAAGTTATGTGTCAGTTATCTTTACCCTGAAACACTGCAAACTGATGATCTGACTGTAACAAAGTCATTTTGTTGCCTATATTAGATCAGTAGCATTCATGGGTTTGAGTTGTGCTCTGTTACATGAAAATACTAAAAGATAGCTATGTAGAAAACACAGTATCATCTGAGAGTGTTGTTGTTGGGAGAGACGAGGATGCAAACAGTCACATCTGATTTAATAAAGTACACCCACACTGAAAATGTCTGCCACTCAAACACAGCCTGTGTTTCAAGACAGCTGGTTTAAGTTAGAGATGGACTGATCCGATATTACGTATCGGTCTGATACTGACGTAAATTACTGGATCGGATATCAGAGAGAAATAAAAAATGTAATCCGATCCATTAAATATCACACAAGCACCTCATAAAACCTGCGACACGGCGTAACTCTGCTCATAACCGTAGCTCGTCGCAGCAGTATGCTCACGTGATAGAGCGGCTGTGTGTTTGTAGCCTCGCTACCAAACCGGCATTTCATCTCTGAGGAAGTGATCCCAGAGAGAAGTAAAGCAAGTGTGTAAGTTCATCTCTGAATGTTTGTAAAGCATTCCCACGTTAAGCTTAACAACCGATATATGGAGCGACTGCCTCTCTCTCTCTCCTTGCTACTTCAATCATGAAACTGATCAATGATCAGCTGATCGTCTCTCTTGTTCGTTTTTGCACCAGAAAGAGGAAACCAGCGGCTGAACAGCAGCAGCACGTTTAAGCTTGACTGTTGTTAGGATTTATTTAATATTACTTTCTACTCGAGGATCTTTTTCTACAGCTGACGTAACTGTGCAGGGGCGGATCTAGCAAAGTTTAGCCAGGGGGGCTGATAGGGCATGAACAGGGAAAAGGGGGCACAAAGACATACTTTTCTTTCTTATTCTCATTTAAAATGTCGAGCTTTTAATAAATAATTATCTGAATCTTACACCCAAAGTTTTAATCTGATGTAAAATGTATAGAAGTCCATCACTGTATATAGTAACTGTTAAGTCTAATATACCCTAGTAAGCTATAGTACTTTTTCCTTTGGGAACCATCTGTGCAGTCTGCAGTTCTGTTGAAGAAAGATGTTGAATCTATTTAATTATTCTTGAAAAATAATTGATTTCTGTGCATTTTTTTTCACACTGCATCAAATTAAAGTTGATTACATCGATTAAGCATCATGAGGGCGGGGGTGGTTCCCTATTTATTTATTTATTTTTTTGCTGGGAGTTTGCAGCCCTGTTAGTTAGGTTGTTTAATATTTCTGCTAAGTACTCTTTAAAATACCAGAGTAGGGAGGATGGAGCAGGTTTACGTTTATTAGATTGATCAGTTTTGCTGAACTATGAAATATTTTGGGTGCAGTGTGTTTTTTACATACAGGTATAACAGAAAAGCTTTATTTTTTTTTAACTTGAGTATGAATTTATACAAAACGCAGCAAGATATTTATTAAAAAAACAGTTTTATTGATTAAAAAAACACTATCAGGTTCATATCGGTATCGGCAGATATCCAAATTTATCGTTATCGCACATAAAAAAGTGGTATCGTGCCATCTGTAGTTTAAGTGACTAATAGCAGACATTTATCACAACATAGTGATAGTGTACTGATCTCTACTGCCTGAGAAGCTGTTAGTGAAGTGTGCCAGACCTTGGTGATCTGGGTGGTGGTGGTGGTGCTGATGGTCTCAGAAGTAATCGTCTGGGCACTCAGCAGCACTCCCGACTCCCTCTCTGCCACACTGTCCACCGGCTGTGGGAGAGATAACTTTAAGTACCAAACAAGAAATTACTCACACGTTTAAACACAGCACATGAACTTCATTATGTCAGAAAAGGGATAAAAGTGTGCAGACCAATAAAGGTTTTACAGACTTTGCGTTGTTAATATATAATAACAGTTAAAAGTGAAATGTGTACTTTTGCTATTCTAATAAAGGTTATTATTAACTTGAAGCTACAAATCGTTGCTCTTTTCTGTGGGACTTGGACATCTACCAGCTGAAAATGGCATTGATTAGATTTGTGTCGTTCCAGTGTCCACGGTGCACATCCAGGTGAAAACCAAGAACGCTCTGCTAAAGCCTCCAGTGTTTACAGTAGCAATGTGGCTTTAAGAAATGCAAACTGGTAAAGCATTTGAAACTGAAGCACCAAAGCAAGATGGGCCATCCCAACAATATAAGCAACAATGTAACAGTGAGTGGTGTGAAAACTCTGAAGTATCACCAACTTCTTGCAAAACTGAACAAACAGCACTTAACAGTACAAATGATTAATCACCCGAAGCATACTACAAGCAAAGACATGGGATGTTGATCCATGGCTAACTCAGTCACATGAGCCCAACCTAAAAAAGACAAAACTGCAGGCAGTGAGATCCACAAAGAAGCAGCAACTGAGGCTGGTTCAGTTCTGGCCTGGCAGAGCATCTCAAGGAGGAAATGCAGCGTCTGATGAGGTTCTTGGGCTCTAGACTTCAGTCATTGAATACAAAGTATTTCCAGGGAAATGTAAAGTCATGTTAGTTTGTATATTGGAGGATAGAGTATCTATAGTACTATAGTAGAAATCGCTTTAAGCCCCCTCAATTTTAAACATTTATGTTAAAGTAATTTATGTTGGATTTTCTGTAATCAACACAGGCTCAGATACACACAGACACCCCCACTAATATTCGGTTAGATGTCCCTCAGCTCTCTAGGTGAAGCAGAGAAATTGATAATTATATTCCAGGAGAGAAGCGTGCTGCACCAGAGTCAGTCTGAAGAAAGTTAAATAACAGTGTCTGAGAGGGAAACCAGACAAGTGTTCACAGCAGTCACAACAGCGGGGAAAAAAATAACAGACGCTCAGGCTGTAATGAGGGGGGGTGCTGAATACTGCAAATCCATTCCTGGAAACTGGACCAATCACAGGACACGATCGAGAGCTGACATAAAAACAAAACCGAATTAAGAATATATTATACAGCGTCAACATAAGCTAGAAAATGTGGTTTGGTAACAGGATCAAGGACTGAACTTTACAGTTTCACTGCTATGCAGGTTTGATCTGATCAGCTGTTTTGAATCCCAGCCCTGTGTTTAACAGACGACCCACCTAATTATTAATATTGACAAATTAGCAGGTCATGCTAGTGCTGTAGAATCAAATCTGCCACTAAACGTAGAGTTGGCATTATTTTACATTTCAGTTATTGCATGCTTTTGTGTTTTTGTGTGAGATATAGGCCACACCATGTGGGAGTGGAGATTCCACTCTAGCCCAGCTATTTGGAGTCGCGTACAGGGACTAGTAAAGGGGTCTTGGAGACTCCAGTGAGGAAAAAAGGATATTTTAAATGAAAGTAGTTTTCACCTGGCCTGGATGGTTTTGCTGTTAAAATAATTACATTTTACCAGACAGAGGATTCGTTTTAAATAGATTTACGTGGATTTGTTGTGATAATAGACTGGATTGGAAACTGCTGGTTTGCTGGACCTGTGGATAACAGGAGGGGGGAAAGCCTACTCTGTAATTAGGAGGTGACCATCCAGGCGTGGAGAGGAAGAGCTCGAGTGTTGTATTCCAAGAATCTGCTGTGGAAACACTCCGTATTGACCCAAGGCCTATGAAGGTGGGTGAAAAGCCTTTCCCAGGAAGACTGCTTGTTCTTCTGCGTGACCACCTTTTTCTGCTTGTACCAGGCTAATAACTGTGACTGTGGTGGGCCTTTGATTCCAGGCCAGAACGTCAGCCCACCAGTCTGCTTCCAAACACCTTATTTAATTCTTGTATTAAGGCCATTATGTTGACCACTCCTTAATACTAGGGCCAAAACTTTCGGCCAGGCTTATGAAAACCAGACAGTGTGTAGTAGCATTGCATACAAAGTTGGAAAAAAAAGCTATACTTTGTGTTTAATGTGAGAAAATAACTCGTAAAATGCATATTTTTGTAAGGGGGAAATGTCTCAAATTCACCTCACCTGAGCTGACTCGTATGTGATGGTCTTGGTTTCAGTGTGAACTAAGGGTATGTCCTTGTAGGCTGCAGTTCCTCTTACAGAATTGGTAACATCTGAGATGGTGATTGTCTGGGTCTTTAGCACAGGAGACTGCAGAAAGCAGATAAACAGCAATAAACTCTCAGGGTTTTACAAAGACAACAGTGTGGCACTGTAGCTGCTGCACAACGCAAGGGAAAGAAATCCACACCCTGTTTGTCCCAGACACACATTTACACACACAGAAAATATCCTGCTGGATTTCTTACTAAACTATGAATTGATCCTTAAATCCCACTTCACTGAGGAGACTGGTAATGTAACTGTTGTACTGGGAAATGCATTCATGAAAACCAGCATGTTTAAAATCTATATCTGACTTACAACATGTCTAACAGGGAACTCTAATGATTTTAACTAAATCTACCAAAGCCTTTTTTATTCGAGATAAATGTGCGTGGGTACGAGTGTGACAAAGTGTGGCGCTGAGCGCACCTTAATGCTAGACAAATAATCTGTGATCTGTCTGCATGATTCCACAACTTGCTGTATGTATGCAATGAAACTTTTAATTGTATAACACTGAAATGTTTTAGACACTAAAAGTAAAGTAAGTATAACTTGAAAATATAGTTTGTGTCATTATAATTTGTCACTGTCGAGCTGCACAGTTCACTCATCATGTTCCTGTGTTTTGGGCCATGGTCTATAATTAACTGTCGCCTTTCTCATGCCGTCACCCAGTTCTGTCATGACTCTGATCCAATCACAGTCAGCCTTCAGGTCCTCAAATGTGCATGTTAACCATTAGGCCATAATATATTTCATGTTGCAGAATTGTCTCTGCCCATTGCACAAAAACCAGCTTAAAAAGCCTTCAAACACCGTGCACAACTTCTTCTTGAAACACACATCAATAACAGAGCAGACGGGTGTTTCCTAAACTGCAAAAATGTAGGAGTGAAGACCTGCAGCTGGAAACGCCCAGTGTTTGTGGAAATGATGAGACACTGCATTTCAATATATTAATGCAGTTCTGTTATTCCTTGCAAGCGTCCACTACAACCATTTGTCTGTCTTTAGTTGGTTCCCTCCTCAGTAGGTTTATGACTATAAAAATGCTGGTGATTGTTTGCTTTAAAGATCAACGTTCTCCCCAGTTTCATTAGTATTCCTTCAAATGTTCCACCGGCTGAAAGGGAACCAAAACGAACGCTGATAGTTTCACAGCCAGACAGACCTCAGCCACATCCTCTAGCTTTTCATGGAGGACACTGAAGATCACCCCGGCATGTTCTAGGTCTGCGTCACATTCCCCTCTGTTAGGCATTCCCAGAAAACCACCAACAATGATCTATGGGGCTTCATGAGCTGCCAAAACCACATCAACTAGCTCCTTTGAGCTTTGAGAAGTTTTTCTTTAAGCTCGCTCCAGATGTTTGAGCTCCTTCAGTTTTTCCTCAGCACCGTACGGCAGAGGAAAACAGCTTCGGTTGCTTGTATTGATAGTTTCACACATTCCATATCAGAGCCTATGATCCGTATACAGGACACCTCCATTATGGTGCTCTGCACAGCATGCTAAGGTAGCCAAAACCCAGAAGCATGTTTAAGCCGAGTGATGCTGACCCCAGACCAGCAGCCAGACCCTGTTAAATCATATGAGAGAATGTGTTTCAGGCCATTTTACAGAGAAACACAAAAGTAATGCAACAAGCAGGACAATGATTACTTTCTCCTGGGAGCAATTAAGTAACATTTTGCATTACTTGTTCTGCGTCATGATGACTTTTTTGAGTAATGAACCTACACGGATCACAACACAGAGGAGCACACAGCATGTAGTTAACGTGCATGACTGTAATCATACGCTGCTCAGTGATGGTGCTGACTCAACGCGGAGACGATGAGAACCTCGTGAGAGTGAATAAGAAATCAAATTGATAAGTGATGGAATCAGAATCGATAAATTCTTGTCAATTGCCATCTACATAAGTGTGACACGAGCTTAATAATGCCAATTCTAAAAACATCGAGTAAAATATAAAAGCAGAATGCAATGATTAGCAAATCTCATGAACACGTTTTATTCACAGAACACAGAAATCACACCAAATGTTTACGCAGAGAAAATGTTCTCTGTTAACAGGTAGCTGTGTCCACATTGACATGAAATCAGCTTGAGCTTAGTCTGTGACGCTGTACTTTCATTATCATGAGTGTCTGAAAATCCCCACAAATCATTGTTTATGAGGGAACATGAGGCAGATAAACAGCCTGTTTGTTACCAGTCACATGACTGAGTATAAAAAGAGCAGGCAGGCAGTTTCCCAGAAGTAAAGACAGGCAGGAGGCACCAGTCTGCAAAAAACTGCATTTACAAGCTGCAATACAATTGTTTGTCAAATAAACAACTGTGAAAGCTGCAAATTTCTCATAATAGCATCAACAGGTTCCAGAGAAATCCGTGTGCACAATGCACAAGCCTGGAAATCCATGTTGGATGAGCGAGAGCTTTCTGCCTAAGTCAGCACTGCATTAACAACAGGCTTGACTCTGTCATGGAAATCAGTGCAAAGACTCGGGAACGGCTCACGGTGCCGTCCACACCTGCAGTGTCACTTTATATGTGAACATCATCCTGAATCTGGGCCAAATGTCACATGGACTGAGGCAAAGTGGAAATCTGTTCTGAGGTCAGAAACATCTGATTTGTTTTCTTTTTGGCAAACATGGACGTCACTTCACCTGGACTAAAGAGGAGAGGGAGAGGCATCATTCAGCTGGTTTCCGCTGATGTATGGCGATACATTACTGACTATGAATTTGGCAACTTGCACATCTGGAAAGGATCCATCAGTGCTGAAATACAAGGTTTAGACCAACATAGTAACTAAGACAACAGTGTGAAACCATGTAAAGCATCTATTACGACAGGTTGAGTCTAGAATTCTTACCAATTCAAGATATTTGGAAAAACATTAAAAATTAAAAATATGAAACTGAAGATTCAGAATAATTAAAAGGCCAGAATTCTGTATACAATAGTCCTCTAACAAAAGTCTAACAACTCGTCTTTAACTCAGGATGAGCTGGTTCTTCTTTCTTTAAACATTTGATCTATTGTTGAATTAAATAATTATTTTCAGAAATCATTGCATTCTTTTTTATTTTAACGGCGTCCCAGCCTTTTCAAAAGTGGGGTTGTAATTAGAAAGTGCTTAAGACATAGAAGTGTTGTGTCTGCGAGGATAGGTACATTTGTCTGTTCTCAGTTAGATTAGAAAAGAGCTGTATAGCCTGTGTGTTCACCATGACACAAGTATAGAGTCTGAAGACGATTCAAAGTGTGGCATTTACATTCTGTAGCATAGATCTTTATTGTCACTGTTACAAGAACAATGAAACAGTTTGTCAGCGTGTCGATTTTTACATTAGAAAGAGAAACGTTAAAGAGCTGCAGGTGCATGCTCTCAGAGGAGCTCTCAGTGCAAGGGAAACCAGTCGCGTCGGCTGAAATCAGAATAATAGTGAGAAAATTAAGACCAGCTAAAGAAACAATTCTGACAAACAGAAACACAGTGGTGGGAACGGCACATCCACAGGAAAAACACCAGTGGCAGATGACCACCGTTTCTTTTTCATGGAAAACCTCCTTCACTGCTTCCAATGAGGAAAGTTACATTTATTTGCACTTAAAATCCAAGATGATGTGAGCGTGCGCACACCTACCAATGCTTGTGTATATTTGCTCAGCATACACAGTCACATATTATAGTCAAAGCAACAGGGCGGCTCCTCCTTACAGACAACAGAGCCAGAATAAGAGAGTTCAGGCTTTGTTGTCCGTGTTTGGTACGGACACCTTGTGTTCTTACGACATTCGTTTTAAAACAGCCTGATAACCAGTTGAATTGCCCAAATTTCCAAACTGGGCACATTTTCATCTGAAGAAACAACAACTCGGTTTATTGCCGAATTTCAACTACTGGACATGTTTCAGAGGTTTTTCTGTTGATTTGCATGATTTAGATTTTAAAAACAGACAAACAGGACTGAAGTCAACTCCTCCAAGATTTGACACTAAGAGAAAAACTCAAACTTAGTTGACGAATTATTTGGAAAAAATATATTTTTAAATGTAATATGAGAAACATATTTTCTAATTATATTCTTTATCAAAAAAGCAATCGCAAAGACTATTTGCCAAATTTGGTACCTGTAAAGAACCTTTAAACGACTTTCCTGTAATTATCTGATAACAACAATGATGAAGATAATCGTACTGATCACTCAAAGTGATTTACATGTACACGATTGTTCATAAGCTTTATAACACCCCAATGTTTGCAGTTATTTATTGCAATTCAAGCCGTTCGTGGTGAACTGTCAGAGGTTAAAAAAAGGTAAGGTTACCCAAAACTGTGATAATGTACATTTATAATTATACAAAAAGGCCTTTGTCAGGGAACAACATAGATTAACAGTTTAAAGCTGTTCTGCAGCAGTGGAGGTTGATCAAGCCTTGAAAGATGGTGCTGCTGACTCCTACAGCTGTTCCAACGTTTCTGGATTACTTACAGCCCCCTCTGTCTGGATAGAGGCAGTGTTGGAGCACACTGTGGTGCCATACCCTCGTGAGCATCAGCTGAACAGTACTGCACTGCAGAAAGTAGAGTGATGCTACAGAAATGGTGAGAAAAAGCCGATTAACGATAGAAGAGAGACAGACCATCATAACACTTATAAATGTAGGTCTGTGCTACAGAGAGACCGTGAAGAAAGTCACAGTGTCAGTGAGCACAGTTTCCTTCACCATCAAAGGCTCAGAAACAGGAAGAGGTCTGGTCCCAAAGACACAACTGAATCAGAGGACAAGTTAACAGCTGTGTGATGGCGGCTCACAGGACAACAGCTTCAAGCAGCTTAATGGTGGCCGTAGTGAGCAAGTCTCAGTTTCTACTGTGAAGACTTCGAGGTGCAGGTTTGACAGGACGAGCTGCAGCAAGAAAGCCAGACGTCAGAATAAGACGAGGCTTGTCTGGGCCATGAAACACCACCGTTGGGCTACTGAAGACTGGAAGAAGCTTTTATGGACTAATGAATCAAAT